GGTCTAGCTCTTGCTCAGGCTGGTGTCAAACTCTTGAACTCAAGAAATCCTTCCCCCTTGGCCTCTCAGAATGCTAGGATTATAGGTGTGAGCCACCATGCCTGGCCCTAGGTTAAAGTTTCATTTGAAGAACAGTTAATTACTATCAGCCACAAAATCAATCCACTTATATTTTATAGTGGAGGTTTTTTTTTTAACAAGTTAATGAACACATGTATTATAGATTTCAACATATGAGTCAGTCATCTTCTTGATAGAAAACTATGTTCCTCTAAAACTTTACAACTAAAATTTGCCCTAGTAGTGATGGTCTAGAGTCAAAGAACAGAGGTACCAAACAGCTGATTTTCAAGGTGAGTAGCAGGGGAGAGATATAAAAGCAATTGAAACTAAATCATTACCCTCACATTGGGAATGGAGCACATCATGCCAGTGAGAAAAGTTCTCATCTGACTGATGCGGCCCTGTGCTCAGTGCTCCAGCAAAGCTGCATTCGTAGACCTGTGGCCGGGCTATGGGTCTGCATCCTGTATCTCATCCTTACACACCACCCCAGGCTCCTTGAGATTTCATGGGGTACTGAAGACACAGTTGCCTCAGAGGCACAGAAATTTCTTCTATTTATCTTAAAATTTCAGCATGGGCATATAAAGCTGTGTGTCAAAGCGAAACACATCAACTCTCTCCTTCATCAACAGGCAGCATTAGTGGTTACCCAATTATTCTGAGGTTTGCAAGTTTGAGCTTACTTGTTGAATAAGTATTGAATGAATAAGCATACCATTATGTCCTATTAGTACAAAATGTGAAAAATCATTATGGCATCAAAGTGGGGAATTTTGAAGATTAAAAAGGTGAGAAAGTGAATGTTGCTCATTAGTATCACTTTAGACTTGCCCATCATATATCCATTAAACAAATATTAGAGCACCCACTATGTGTTAGGCACTGTGCTAGATGCTTGGGATCTTTCAATGAACACAACAGAGAAAGATCCTTACCTTCATGGGGCTTACGTTCTAGCAGACGTATATACATAGATAATAAGCAATTATCATAATAAATAAGTAAACTATATACTATGTTAGAAGGTATTAACTGCTATGAAAAAATAAAAGCAGTAGTGGGAGAGGGTTTAAGATACTGTAGGGATAGAGGGCAGAGGGAGTTTTAACCAGGTGGTCAAGGTAAACTAGATTAAAAGGTGAACAGCAAGAGCAGAGTGAGCAAGGTGGACAGGGACAGAAGAGCTCAGAGGGATAAAGGGAGCCAGATCATGGAGGACTTTGACACCACTGCATTCTAGCCTGGGCAACAGAGCAAGACCCTGTCTCAAAATAAAAACAATGCAAGGCGTGGTAGTCCACACCTGTAATCCTAGCACTCTGGGAGGCCCAGGCAGGAGGATCACTTGAGGTCAGGAGTTTGAGACCAGCCTGAGCAAGAACGAGACCCCATCTCTACTAAAAAATAGAAAAAAAAAAAAAATGAGCCAGGCAACTAAAAAAACAATAGAAAAAACTACCCAGGCATGGTGGCACTTGCCTGTAGTCCCTGCTACTTGGGGAGGCTGAGGCAGGAGGATCACTTGAGCCCAGGAGTTTGAGGTGGCTGTGAGCTAGACTGCTGCCACGGCACTCTAGGCCAGACAACAGAATGAGAATCTGTCTCAAAGAAAACAAAAACAAAAATAAAACAAAAGCCTCAGATCTATCTTACTTCAGAAGCTTTACCTTCTCTGTCCCTGCCCAGGAATAGGATGATTTTTATTTGCTGCAGGCTTGAATGAATGCATCTTCAAAAAGTGTGCAATTTGGTTTCTTCTCAGATTCTTTACAGATAAATTACATATTTCTAAATGAAAACAGTTTTCAAATTGGAGAAAAATGAATTAACTCATTGACTACGGTATGATTAGCAATTCCTATTATACCCATTTCACAAATGGCTAAGCAAAAACACAAGAGATTAAATAATGGTGTTCACAGCCACTGTTCACAGTGGCTCATGCCTGTAACCCTAGCAGTTTGGGAGGCCAAGGTGAAAGGATTGCTTGAGGCCAGGAATTCGAGACCAGCCTGAGCATGAGTGAGACCCTGTCTCCACAAAAAAAAATAGAAAAATCAGCCAGACATGGTGGCACGTGCCTGTAGTCCCAGCTGCTCAGGATCCTGGAGCTCAGGAGTTTGAGGTTGCAGTGAGTTATGTACTCTAGCCCATGTGATAGAGCAAGACCCTGACTCAAAAATGATGTCCACATAGCTGATTAAATTCTTTGTCTTTTTCCTTTCTATAATATCACAATTTGAATTTTTTGAAGAAACCAACAAATATGGCTATGGCAAACTATGGCAGAGTGAATATACTGTCATTGGAGGCAGAACCTTTACCTTTAAACCGACTATACAATACTGTTACTTACATAAAAGTACTACATTAATAATTATTAGTCACTACCTCTGTGACCTGGAGCAGTCATTTAACTTGTCAGTGCTTTCATGTTCTCATTTGTGAAATAAGGATGATATACATCACAGGTATTACATTGTTGAAGATTAAATAAGAGAACATATTAACACATAAAAGTGATCCATAAACTGTAATCATTTTTATGATGACAGTTACTAGGTTTTATGCTCCTTCATGCCCCTTTATGCCTTAAATGTGTGTCCCCTTCAACAATCAATAAAGGGTTTAATATGACTTGAATATCATCTACTAGTCTATGGAAGGATTTGAGATACCTTTTCCCTGTCTAAGAAGGAAACTAACTAGTGCCTCATTCCATGAAGCCTGGGTTAAATATCCATAATTCAAACCTTAAATTACAGCGAAGTAACAAACTAAGTGCATTGCCAAAGATGAGATTTAAATAGCTTGCAAGGCATTTAACAGTCTGGTGTTTCCTCTACAGTGTGGCTTTCAGTGCTATAAAATTTGACAAAGAGAAAAACCCAAAGGAAAAATGTCAACACATTTTATAAGAAAACATGCCTGGAAGGAGGGAGAGCAGAAAAAAGGCATGGTTTGTTAATAAGAGTTAGTAAAGATTTTATTGTTGTGTGTACTGATTTATCATCTCCTGATTACAATAGTATCTATAACATTGTCTAACTTATCAACCACTACGAAATTTACCTTTAGAAATAATATACTTATTAAATTTCCTTAGGCATACTCATCTTCCCCCCAAGAAGATGGACACATTTGGTGGTATCCAGGGAAGTGGCCCAATATGCTATTAATACGGTACTAGATTTGCTACCAGATAAGCTTAAATGAAGGGAACCAAGCCTTGCTCTGCTGTTTACTACAAGTAATTCTTGTTACATGATTTAACATAGAAATGTTAATGATGGATGTGTTTTACAGTCTGTAAAACAGAGGCTAATATTGTTTATTTTGCCTACTCCACAGGTTTATTGTGAAGGTGAAATGAAGTAATATATGCACAATTAATTCACAAATTGTAAATATATAACCAGAAATACCTAGATAGTAATCTACCACTTGACCTTTGGTAAACATCTCGTATGAGCAAAGCTGAGATACAGACTTCCCTGCATATGTTCACCTAGTAGTACCAAAGAGAATTTTTTTTTTAAAAAAAGAATTTCTATTCATCTGTGAGAAAGGATACAATAAAGAAGTAGGTTGGTAAAAGTTGATCCTTCCTCAATAGATCCATATTTCAACAAAAATTAGCTTCAGATGGTTCAGCTATACCTTCCTTCAAGTGTGAAAAAAGTGTGACTATCAGATTAGGACATAGCCATATACATGTGTGACAGGGGTCACATACAAGGTCATTTTACCTAGTACCTCACTCAGTCTCTGGAAATTATCAAGTGGCTCAAAGTACTAAAATCTCGTCCTTCCCCATGTCTCCTCATTCGTCATCCCAGTAGCTTCCTCAACTCCCCTGGCAAGAAGAGAATAGGAGAATTGAGAAATTAAAATTATTCTTAAAACCAGAACATGCCTACCAACTCTCTTCATGTTTCCTAGCCTAATTCCTTTCTGAACTACACTAATAACTGATGTATTTGGTTGATGTTATAGTTACTAACTAACCTCTTGAGCCCAGTAATTCTTTGAACTGCTGTTATTAACTTTCACCAAAGCTCTTACCTAAAGAAAAATCGTACAAATGTCCATAAGTAGACTGTAAGCTGGAAAAGAGCCAAGTTCACGCACATAGTACACACACAAAAAAGTATGCCAGTGTCATTTTTATTATTTATCATCTATGTTGAACTATAAATACATTTTCAGTCATAACAGTAAGAAAAAAGGAAGAAACATAATAAGCACTTCTGAGCAAATTTTGCCAGGGGCAAATACTTTAGACACTGCTTATTCTGGTTTCAGTATAAAAAGGCTGAAGTTTGTCTCTTTGAAAAAGAAATAAACAATATAAATTGCTTGAGCACTTGAAATCCTAATTTCCTATAAAACTCTAGCTCTCTTCCCTCACTTAGAACTTGCTTAACATTTCTCTACTATTCCTCTGAATGAATTCCCATTTTCCCAGAAGTGTCCCACAAGTAGATGTAATGCTTCTTTGTGTCAAAGCCATTGGCTTTTTTGCTAATTACCCAATTTCTGCACTCTTCCATTGAAAAATAATTTACTAATGTTGGCAGAATAACTATACCAGCCTTGTTCCTGATAAGAGCCACTTGAAGAAAAAGTTATCTATCAAAGGTTTTATATTGATGTAATCTGTTCCAAGATTTTAGCTTTCCTTTTTTAAAAAATTGCTTTTGTTTGTTTGGGTTTGGGGTTTTTTAAAATACCAAAGTGAACCATGAAATATACTCTCTGTTTAATGGTCTAACAAATGTGTTGACGTTGTCTTGAGAGATCTTTCAAGAGTCCCCAGATTACAACCAGGATGTTTGAGGCCAACTTCAACCTGATCTATCTTGCTCTGCAAAGAAATTTTCTGTATGAAATAATAATACCCATTATCAGCAAAGTTGAAGAAGCATACTCACCAAGTGAACATAAGGCACAAAGTATCCAAAAAGTGCAAGTGGTATTCCAACTGCCCACACTGCATAAGCTGTCACCTTGAAGAGGCCAAAATTGAAAATTTTTTTTGGAGGATTGAACTTTCTCCTGGAAAAGAGGGAGGATCCGCTGCTTCCACTCTCTTTATCTTTGGTACTGGAAGTAAGAGGTCGGTAAGTAAAACCAGCCAGAAAGAGAACAAACATGAAGATGCAGAGGACCCTCAGTGTGTAAAAGAGGCCCACGCTGTCAATTAGAACCCTTAAAAGCAAAGGTAGCAAAATTGTGAAGATACTGCTGCCAGCAGTGACAATGCCATTCACCAGTCCAAGGCGCTTCTTGAAATAGTGTCCCAAAATAACCAATGAAGGCTGGTATGCAAAGGAGCAGCCGCAGGCAAATATGATTCCATAGGTTAGGTACAGAGGCTCGATGGACCTGTATAAAGATGAAAAAGATGGAAAGTAGCTTTGATTATTTATTATTTATTTATTTATTTTGAGACAGAGTCTCACTTTGTTGCCCAGGCTAGAGTGAATGCCGTGGCGTCACCCTAGCTCACAGCAACCTCAAACTCCTGGGCTCAACCAACCCTTCTACCTCAGCTTCCCAAGTAGCTGGGACTACAGGCATGTGCCACCATGCCCGGGTAATTTTTTCTATATATATTAGTTGACCAATTAATTTCTTTTCTATTTATATATATATATATTTTTTTTTGCCACCAATTTCTTTCTATTTATAGTAGAGACGGGGTCTCACTCTTGCTCAGGCTGGTTTCAAACTCCTGACCTTGAGCAATCCTCCCGCCTCAGCCTCCCAGAGTGCTAGGATTACAGGCATGAGCTTTGATTATTTTTATCATGTGCTTGGTAGAAGAAAATCTTATAGTAAGTATTTTCTGCAGATAAAAACCAAACCAGGCCGGGCGTGGTGGCTCACGCCTGTAATCCTAGCACTTTGGGAGGCCGAGGCGGGCGGATTGCTCAAGGTCAGGAGTTCGAAAGCAGCCTGAGCGAGACCCCGTCTCTACCAAAAATAGAAATAAATTAATTGACCAACTAAAAATATATATACAAAAAATTAGCCAGGCATGGTGGCGCATGCCTGTAGTCCCAGCTACTTCGGGAGGCTAAGGCAGTAGGATCGCTGAGCCCGGGAGTTTGAGGTTGCTGTGAGCTAGGCTGACGCCATAGCGCCATAGTGACGCACTCACTCTAGCCTGGGCAACAAAGTGAGACTCTGTCTCAAAAAAAAAAAAAAAAAAAAACCAGGAAAAATTAATAAATGAAGAATGTAGCATTAAAAATACTTTAATCAAGTCTAAATGTGTGAAAAGTGACCATTAAGGCCATCAGCGATTTTGTTCCTCCTCTTTCCATGGCTTTCAGGTGAACCAACACAGAACTGGATAAGAACTGAGCTCTCTATAGCTCAGAAATAAAGGTCAGTGCCAGGAAGGGCCTCAGTAAAACTGACAGTGATTACACAAACCTAGTCTCAATTAAACTTTTTTCAAACTTAGAATTTAACTACGAAAATGCATTATTTCATGGAGTTTTTCCAGGTACCTACTAAGCAATCTAGTAAAAGAAAAGGCTGCATTTGATGTTTTCTCTCCAAGGTTATGTGAGAAACATTTACACAGAGGAACGGTTGTGCCTCATTTTTGTTGGCCTAAAGGCTGTAGACCAACCTTCGCCCTGTTTTGCACTGTTCCCAGTATTGTGCAAGATAACAAGAGAAATCATATTCTGATTGCAGAAAGACTAAATTAAGTGTGTTCCAATAGTGATCCCAGTTTGTAAGTTTTAAAGCCACGTATGTCTCAAAAGAATAATGGATTAAAGAATTGTGTAGTTTAACCAAATAACTTAATTGTACATCTCTTAAATAGGTAAAGGATCATATCATTTATGTTCTCTGAAACAATTAAGGAGTAAAACTAAAGTTTTTGAAAAGGCTATTTATAAGTTATAAAGGTGAATAATTTATTATTAATAGAAACTAAGATAAAGTTGGTTAATAATTAAATTTTTGATTATAATGTAATTACCTAGCAATATGTTGAGGTACTCACAAGGAACTCTAGAATCTGATAAACTTGAGGCCTGTCAGCAATCCTCTCTCTGAGATGCCCTTCCCCCTCTATTTTTTTATTTTACTTATTTAATTTTTTTTTTCTTTTCCCACCTTCATGACTTTATCTAACTCTACTTTCCCCCTCTATTAATCCATGTCTAGCACCATCTTTAAATCAGACTCAGTAGTTACTTCTAGGCTTTTCTAAATTAACCTCATCTCACTCTGATTATCTTTTACTGAATCTCTACCTTTTATTCAACAAACATATTAAGCAGCTACTATGTACTGGGCACTTGGCAAAAAAAGATATTAAAAATGTAGTTTTGCCTTCAAGATACTCATGCCTTTTTCACTTCTAAATTTTCACCTCAGTAACGAATGGTTGAAGTTGTTGGAGTTTGACAACTGAGTAAGTGCAATGTACATCAGCAAGTTTGTGGGATACCAATCGTGTGCAAAATGGATTCAAAGAAGGGACACTGATGTGACCTGAGGTGCTGGAGAAGGTTTTCTTCATAAGGCAGAACTGGAATGACAGGAAAAGTGGATCTACCACTCAGCACTTAGAATTCACAACACATTTCTTCTTGCTCCTATATACTGCTCTGAAATTTTGGTAGCCTTTGACCAGCAGGTTACGTAATGAAATTGAATGAGAAAATATGAGACTATTACATGTAGTAAGGTAAATCTGGTTTCAAGAAATTTTGTTTCACCTGGGGGAGACAGAAGGGGTGAAAGGAGAAAACTGGATGACAACATGAAATATATTTCATAATTTTTACTTCTCAGTGGTCAAAAAAATTCAAAAAATATAGTTTACTTTATGTTTGTATATGGGTTTTGTCTAATAAACTAGGTAATATCTTACATAGGTTTTCTACCTCTCATCTTCTCTCTACAAAAGCCTAAGTGATAACATACTCAGCAAGTGGTAGGGCCACAGGTACTGATAGTAGGTAACCAGAGGCTTCTAGAGCAAAGAATATATCTGATGAGGCATTATTAACACAATGTTATAATGCAGTTAACAAAGAACTAAAAGTAAATGATGTCACAGAATTATCTAAACAGAATACTATTCCAAACAAAACTTGTTTTTCTTTAAACAACTACTATAGAGGAAAAAAAATCATAAAGGTACTTTAAAGATGGAATGGCTATTTTCTACCAAGAAATAAATATAATTTTTAAAAATCCAAATAATATTTCTAAAGAAAGAGGCTTGTTTTAAAGTTGAGGAATGTATATGTGTATGGGGTACGGGGGTTAATAAAACCAAGGATTCTGTTGATTAAATCCTGAATATTTAAAAACTAAAGTCAAATGTAAATTTAACTTATTTTTCCCTAATGATCACAATAATGCTTTTCAACTAAAGCAGCATGAAGACAGCTGGGACAGGAGAGAGGCAGTAAATGAAGAAAAGCCACTGAAGTAGAGAAAGAGGATGGAAATGATCTTAAGAGCTTTTCTTATTAATCACCTCTTGTTAGTCAAAGCTACATACTAAAACTAGTGTTTCTCTTTCTTTTTTTCCCCTCCCTCCTCCCCTCCAAGTATTTCTCTAACTGAGAATTAATTTAAGGGGACTTAATAGGAGAGCTAGAGCTGGAGGGAGAGGTGTTTCTTACAATAATGTGCCCATCAGCTCCTTGCAGTTAGTCCCTCTTTAGTGTACTACATCTTTTCTTCTAATAGACACAGGAAAAGCATATTACAATTTATTTTAAGGTACATTTGACCACTTCAATTTGCCATCGTATTTTTAAATTTTAGCATGTTCTCTTTTTAAAACAACAGACAGAAATTCTCTGAGTTAGAATAAACAGCAAAGTTTTTATCCCATTAATACAAAAAATTTCTTACCAAGCCTATGAACAGCCATTTAAAAAATACCACTTATTATACCCCTTGGGCCTCAGACTGAACTGACTTTAAACTAAAGCCATTGTTTTATTTTGTTTATTTATTTATTTTTTTGAGACAGAGTCTTACTCTGTTACCCAGGCTAGAGTACCGTGGCACCAGCCTAGTTCACAGCAACCTCAAACTCCTGGGCTCAAGTGATCCTCCTGCCTCAGTCTCCCAAGTAGCTGGGACTACAGACATGTGCCACCATGCCCAGCTAATTTTTTCTATATATTTTTAGTTGGCCAATTAATTTCTTTCTATTTTTGGTAGAGACAGGGTCTCGTTCTTGCTCAGGCTGGTCTCAAACTCCTGACCTTAAGCGATCCTCCCACCTCGGCCTCCCAGAGTACTAGGATTACAGGCATGAGCCATACTTATCGTTACTGACCTCTAACTCTTAGGCATGCAAGCAAAAGCATTCAAATTCTCAAGCTCTGATTTGTTGCTGTGAATAACAGTTTGATGTATAAGTCATATTGCTTTAAGTTTTAAGTAATGAAAAGGAGGATCTTTCCTCCTAAACAGCAAAGTTTCTAAAAGTAAAACTTCAAGGTATCTGATAGTTCTTGAAAAGTAACAAAGAAACCAAGTCATTCTCTGCATATCAAGGTGAAATTTTAAAAAGGGGGGGGGAGAGAAAGAAAGAAATCAAATACTTACTTTACAAAAGAACTGGACATGAGTCCAATGAATCCAACAGCAGCACCCACAACAGCTGTTTTCCGACAACCAAATATGTCTGTGAAGACGCTGGCTATTGGGCAGCAAAAGAAAATCATCCCCATGGAGAGAGAACTTACCCATGCTGTAAAAGAGGGGAAAGAACAGGGAACACATTATGACATGCTAAATTATATTTGTACTTATTCCATTGTATATAATACACATTTAGAAAAATATTAAAGCAGAAAAGGTATTACCCAGATTGATGAATAAGAGAAAATTTGGAATAAATTGGTACTTTTAAGAAAAAAAACTCTTGCACAAGTCTTTGTGAATTACTGTGAATTTTGATCTACTGCTAGCCAAATAAGAAAAATTACAGATTTTTATGTCTATTAAACAAGCACTAACAGCAAGACATAATTAAACACAACTTCTTGTCTTGACTATCCTCTTAAAACTTTATTCAGTGGGGGGAAAAATTTACTCTGCCACTAGATGACCACTTCAGCAGGCCTGCATGATTCTTTTGGTCAATGTTAAATATTAATAACAGAAAGGCCTATGGTCTCTTTAGGTAATAAACCCATCTTCACTAGGTAAGCTGCTTCTCCTGTTTTCCATGACCTCCTCTTCCCCTCCTCACCTGAGGGTTCTTTCCAAGGTGGGAATGGGAGAGAGGGAGGCTGGGGGAAGGAAGGCAGGAGATTCCAACTTAAGCAGTCCTGCCAAAAAATCTGTCTGATGTCTGAAGCTCTTTTATTCTCAGATGCACTTTTGTGGGTTCTTCAGAGTCTCACCTCAGATATAGCTCCACTGACTTGGACAATTCCTTCTCCTCCTGGCTTTTTGGCTGTCACTCAAAAGACTCACTGTCAAGCCTCATAGCCCTTCCAGGCCGTCTATTTGGGCAGAAGTCAAAACAGCTCCAGGCTACTCCTCTCCTCCAATAGGTTCGCTTCTGATCTGTGGGAAGCACTCAGATTTCCTTTGCCCTGACAAACGTTGGAGTGAAGGCAAATTCCAACACAGCCACCTCTTGTATAGCTCTTGCTGTGGAAGTAGTTAGCCAGCCACAGTTATTTCCTTCTTGGTTTTCTTGAGGAGTCAAATCCCAGTCCTTTGTGTCCCCCAAATGGGAAGGATTCTTTAAATCTCTTAAGTGGTCCCTCTTAAGCCCCATGAATTCTTTTAAGTTCCCACCTGGAACAAACCTAACACCTCTCACTAGATACCAGTGAGAGAACATACATCCCCACTTCTCCCATAGGACTTGGGGGAGCCATAGCACAATTTTCTCAAAAATCCTCACAAAATGCTCTTTCTTGACCCATAAATATCCTTCTTATGGGTTTTAGAGCCTCTAACTGGTTTCAACATCTACTTGAAAAGTTATATGAAATATTCTCACTTTTGAAATTCATACTATTTGTACTTTAGTACCTTGAGTGAAATTCCAACAGAATATTCTGTTAGAATAATAATTCATAATAGATGAAGTTAGGTCTGTCTTTTGATCGAATTTAAGAAGAAATTAATGCTTGAATGATTACTTGCTATCGTAAACTCATAAAATTTCTAGTTTTTATAAAGTTTTAACATGGCATACAAAGAATCCAAGGTCTTATGGGTTATGATGCACATAGGACAAAAATAAAATGGACTGTTGCTCTCTTTCACTTCTTCCAACTCTGACTATAATTATTAATAATACTCAATAGAGCATATATATTACCAGTTGTTGTACTGTTAATATATTTGTCGTACTCTGAAGAATATTTCATTTAATCCTCAAAACTCTATAAGTTAGTACTTTTCTTAAGTCCATTTAACAATTGAGAAACTGAAGTACATAGCATGGTACATACCATATATAGCATGGTAAAATTTTTATTTAAAAAATGCAAACTAGCCCTAGTCTCTCTATGTCCTTCTACCAAACACCCACACAGGTCTTCCTAAAATTGTTAAAGAACTAATAAATCCTTTTCAATGGAAGAGGTGCTATTTAAATTATTTTTATATGTGATATGAAAATATAACATTCTCTCCCTTCCTATTAAAAGTACCTATTATGTTCTAGGCACTATCCTGTTGGGAATATAAAAACAACTAAGATTTTTCTACCTTTCAGTAATTTTTCAGTCTAGTAACATATATGCAAATAGAGGTCCAATCAGAACACCAGAGGATGTGCTAAATGTCTTGAGACATAAATACCAAAAAAATGCAAAAGAAAGGCTTTAGAATGTGCTTGTATACTCTTATTTGAATATGTATGTGTGTTTAACATCATAGAGAGTCACATCCAAGAAGCCATGCTGTGAAATCTTTTTCAAAAAATACCAGAGAGCTTTCCAATTTCCCCATCCAGATCCTCTTTGTTTCCTACTCCATTATGAGAACAAATTCCTGGTTCTCTCTGCGTAGGACCAAAGCTGGTTGCAAATCATTCAAAGTAAGTGGTTAAGTTTAATATTTAAAGAAGATTTTCCTGCATGCTAAGTAAAATAAGGTGTTGTAACTATGCAGATATAAATGATTGCAAGGGCAAATTATTTACAATTGAAAACACCCACAGGGAAGATTTACTGTAGCTAAAGGTTGATAAATATTCTTTTGCTCTTGTTGTTAGCTCCAACCTGCATTTCCACTTGATCTTGGCCTCTTTCAGACATCTGTGCTCTATAATAACAATGGTCTAACAGCCTTAAATTAAATGAAATAACAGTACACAAAACTGAAATTAAAATGCAAAAATATCATTTACCCAAGTCCCAATGATTCCTAGCACAGTAAGCTACCTGGCAACAAAATTCAGGAATGCATACATTGTACTTGCCTTGAACATTGTATTGCCATCCTAAAGGTTATTTATTAATTACATTTCACTTAGAAGTGGTTTTAAAAATATTTTCTAATCAACTTCTCTTTGTGGCACTGGAATAAAGTGGTCATGCAAACCCCCCTGCAGATAACTATTATAAAACTTGGGCCAAAAAAAAAAACAAACCAACTAACTAAAAACCAACCAACCAAACAAACAAAACAAACAAAATAATCTATGCACACATACTAGAAAATGTCTTAAAAACTTACACAAGTTGGAGGAGAGTTTGAAAAGCTCCAATTGGAAAAATTACAAGTTTGTGGGCTTTCTCAAGTATCAACAAACTATGTAGGTGTTACGTAGACTGAGAAGTGGCCAGACTAAAGAAAAGTAGCATCTGGAAGTTATAAGAACTGAACAGAGACGTCAGCTACCACATACCACATAGAGACAAGATTTGCAGTGCAAGCTCAGGCAGGCTACTAGGAATAAAAACTCAATGATCCTTGGAATAACACAATAGAATCAGAGTTCAGGTTTGAACCCAAAATTATAAGACATGCAAGGAAATAAGTAATCAATATAAATTGACTCTGAATGAGCTCAGCTGTTAAGTTTAGTAAAGATTTCAAACTGTCTGTTATAGATATGTTGGAAGAGTTAAAGAGTAACATTTTTCAAAGAATAAAGGGTAAAAAAATGGTCTTACTGAGTGAACAAATAAGGAATCTCAACAGTGAAATGTAAACTACAAAAAAAAAATGGAAATTCTAGAGAAGAAAAGTACAATTGATAATGGCACAGGGCCCCCCCCCCCATCTCATCTTGCGGCTCTGCCTGAGACTTGGCTTCTGTCCAGCTGACTCTGGAGTGTGTGAAGAGCTGCTGTTTACCAGCTCCACAGAGCCTGGTAAACAGCTCTCACCTGACAACTAGACACTTGGTTTGCGGATGGTAGTTCCAAGGCAAACAAACAACATCGTTTGGAAGGCTGTTACTCTGAGGAAGAACATGAAAACCTTTTTCCTTTTGAGTTATTTATAGCTTAGAGAAATTGGGACACAATTGAAGACACTGGTTATTTGACCAAGACTTTGACTGGAATGACATATTCTCAGACTGCTTTGAGGAATTCAGGTTGACTTTGCAGAGCTGACAAAAAGCTCGCTGGAAAGACTGGCCTGGTACATTGTCTACACAATTTCTTTACAAGGTTCCTGATCAGTGGTAAGTACAGAATGTCACTTTCTGACAGACCCAGGAAACTCAAGATATTTTGGGACCTGGAAAAAGAGGAAAACTCACCCAAAAAAGCACAGTCTGATGGCAAATACTTGGCTTGGCTTCAAGGCTTGTAACGAGTCAAATCTGAAATATTTTATTTATTATTTTATGTTATTTTATTTCATTTCATTTCAGAGTATTATGGGGTTACATACATTTTGGTTACATAAATTGCCTTTGTACAGCTTGAGTTAAAGTTACAAGTGTGCCCATTATCCAGATAGTGTGCACTATACCTGTTAGGTGTGACCCATCCCTTCTTCCCCCCTCCCATGTACTTGATTTCCAATGAGTTTTATTTTCGTATGTGCACATAAGTATTGTTTAATTAGTTCCAATTTAATGATTTTTTCATGTGGTGTTTGTTTTGCCATTCTTGTGACACTTCACTTAGAAGAATGGTCTCCAGTTCCATCCAGGTTAATACAAGAGGTATTATTAGCTCATCCCTTTTTTTTTTTTTTTTTTTGAGACAGAGTCTCACTTTGTTGTCCAGGCTAGAGTGAGTGCCGTGGCGTCAGCCTAGCTCACAGCAACCTCAAACTCCTGGGCTTGAGTGATTCTTCTGCCTCAGCCTCCCGAGTAGCTGGGACTACAGGCATGCGCCACCATGCCCAGCTAATTTTTTACATATATATATCAGTTGGCCAATTAATTTCTTTCTATTTATAGTAGAGACGGGGTCTCGCTCTTGCTCAGGCTGGTTTTGAACTCCTGACCTTGAGCAATCCGCCCGCCTCGGCCTCCCAAGAGCTAGGATTACAGGCGTGAGCCACAGCGCCCGGCCTAGCTCATCACTTTTTTTTATGGTTGAGTAAGTACTCCATGGTATACATATACCACATTTTATGAATCCACTCATGTATTGATGGGCACATGGGTTGTTTCCACATCTTTGCAATTCTGAATTGTGTTGCTATAAACATTCAAGTGCAGGTGTCTTTTTAATTAAATGTCCTTTTTTTCTTTGGGTAAATATCTAGTAGTGAGATTGCTAGATCAAATGGTAGGTCTACTTTTAGTTCTTT